TGAAAAACAAAATCAGCTGATTTCTCAAAAACCCCATTTTTTCCCGAACTATCTTTTTGTTAGCATGGAACCCATATCACAGAGCTATGTATATGCCAATTAATCAACTTGATGAATAGAGCGAGATTTCAGTGATGCAAAAAAAATATGAATATATATATTGATAAAAAATCGAAGTAAAAATGTTACCAGCTTTCCTTTAGGAAAGATAACATAATAAAGTCTAAAGCACTAGCCCTCAGGAATACCTTAGGTGATTTTATTTTAAAATAGATATATATGAATAATAAATAGATATATTAATCAAATAAATAGATATGTGTATTAATTAATATATTTACGCTTCTATTTCTAAAAGTCGCTGTTGGAATCTAGACCACAATTGACTCTTTTTATAATATATCCAATTATTATTATCTGGAATATAATATTTCCGATACCAACTAATTTCAAATTCAGCATTACCAGGGTACCTATTATATTTTTTTATATACTCGGCATATTCTTTATTAAGACGTATTTTAATTTGATCTAGAGATACAGGATTTTTTATTTTATGTGGAATTAATGTTAGAAATTTCTTATCATCTGGAGTATTATCATTCGGTAAGCTATTCCATGCAAGCCGTGCATTCGATAGCTCTTTCTCTTGAAAACGTCTCCAAACTCTTTGTATAAGCCTTGCATGTCCAAAATCGGTATGTGGTCTTGAGCATTCATGATCATAATGTTCTTTCATTAAATCGAATGGATCAACATTTGGACCTAAATTAACATTAACATGCATAAGTTTCATACATCGGAAACATATTGCTGTACCATCCTCATATAACCTACCTCTACTGTAATTATGTTTATCGAAATTTGCGCCTTGGGTATATGTGGCATGAAGACAATACTGGTGAAATGTAGAACGTGGCCCTCCCCACGAACATAACTCTTGAAGAGCAATTCTAACTCGACAAGCCCACTGAATGGGTGTTTCTCCATCAAAGATCATACTAATAGAATCATAAGGCCTTTCAGCGTCGATAACTCTATTAAGACGATTATGTCCACCAGTCCTTTCAAGCCTTCTATTTATATTATATTCTGCTCTTGACATATTTAACGATTAAATTAAATTATAGTGTTTTTAGAGATTATGCGATTTATATCGAATTTAAGGATTTGATTTAATACCTATATACTCTAGAATAAGTGGATTCATTTTTAATAAAACGAGAAGATAATCTATAGTTATACTGATTTATGGGAAAAAATCGAAATATATATTAATATTACATTAATACGCATGATTTTTGAGAATCTAAACCATGTGTAGTTAATCCAATTTTGATATACCTGTATATGATCGCACAAATATCAACTGACCTCTTACACGTTCTATGAACTTCTAATTTAGCTCGATGGCGCATGAAAACACTAAATGTATATGGATTGGTATTTGATATATGAAAAATAGCAATTTTTTGTATTAATATATAATATCTATTCGTTTCACAATGATTTTTTTTGTGATACCGCTAAAAATTATTTTCTATCGTTATTAATAATAAAGCCTTTTCTTATTGTGTATGGTTTCTCCGATAAGAAGAAATGCTAATGAAACTTGAAAAGGATAAAAGAATGAAAGGTTTACTGTTCTTATCAGTAATAATATCAAATTTCATACGTTATGGAACTTGAGATCTTTACAATCTCCAAAGATCGTCGAAATTTGTCTTATTTTTCATTCTACAAAAAGCGATCGTCAGAATGAAAGGTTTAATTTCCCATAAAAGGTGAAATATACTTTCCTCTTTGCGCTTGTGATTCTAATAGAATTGCTTTATGGGGCAGAGATCTGGCAAATGGTTGGGGTAACGTAATTACTAATCATGTAAATTTTTTTCTTTTAGCAGGTTCCAGATCAAGCGAATGAAACACTATAAATAAACTGGATTTGTGAGGTGGACTAGAATATTATTACTTATATTTTTTATCGAAACAAAAGTTTACAATGGAAGGAGAACTTTCAGTTAAAATTGGTAAATAAATTCTCCCATTAGCATTATTAATGCACAGATTGTATTTTTACAAAAGATAAAACACGATTAAATAATGATATTTTTTTTTACATAGTGGGACTGGATGAAATTTACCTCGCTGTTCATGACGGGGGAGATAAAAAAATAGACGAAGAAACGCTAAAAAAAGAACAAGGTGAATCTACTACGTTGTAAGTTACATGGTTTCTCTAATTGTTCTATAATGAACCGCTTTTTGTTTTCCATATATATCTCATTTTCACCATTCTGTATAATTATAGATCAGTTCAAAAAGTAGAAAATGGTGCA